GCCGCGGTACGACGAATGTCACGCACGTCCGCCAAAGCTTACATTGAAAGAGCCGGGAGGACATTTAGTGGCTGCTGAATTTATGCCTTATAAGCCTAAGCCCGGAATCCTGATCCCTAAACCCTAAACTAAAGCGGCTGGAAAAAACTAAATGGCTTCCCGGCTTTTGCGAGTAATATACGAGCCCACATAGTTGCCAATACTACTTTGGGGCTCCTTCTTACGATTATAGCATAATATGCCCCCAAACCCTATTCTAATCATTAAGGCCCCTACATTATCCCTTGATTAAAGTATACTAATATAACTACCCCCAAACCCTATTCTAATTATTAAGGCCCCTTTAGTAGAGAAGGTACAGGCGATAAAAGGGTTCCAAGCCCTCAGCTCGCCAGCGGTGCAGGGCCTTTGGCATTTCCGAGGGCTCCGCCCTCATACGCCTCTCAAATCCTGAAATACCGAATGCGACAACAGTTCAAACCGTAAGCAGTGGACCTCTTAAACTCACGACTCTAAACGCAACCCTATAGACCTCCCATGAACTCAAAACCCTTCAACTCCCAGACTGCAGCTGCAGGATATCCGCGCAAGGCCAAGGCTCTCCAAGAAGCCTCAAACATGCGCAGCGACGATTTCCGGCCGCTCGGCTTTCGCTTGCGGAGTGCTGGGTTCAGTTCATACAGCAGCAGGGGGGGGGGGGCGAGCGCCTTAAATGAGCCCTCTTTCCGATCACAACAGCACCCCCATGCGTCCAGACCCGCTTTCCTGCAATCTGTTTCAGGAAAGTGCTCACGAAGGGGAAGATCCACAGCATGCAGGACAATGTGAAAGTGCATGCCCGAAAGATCCATGTGCTGTTCTATATATGCAGGAAAGCACTGTATCGATATCTGTTCCTTGGGACATCGGGCAGTTGATGCACAGTGTCATACTGCGCCAGACTATCTTACACCCGTTTTGCAGCGACAGAGTTCCCGTGTCCACGAGGCTTCATCGAGTTTTGATGCTGGCGACACGTTGCAGCCTTTAGCTTAGGCCAATCTTTGCTTACAGCAAGCTTCTGTTCTTCTTGCACTGCAACCCTGGCAAAGTGCTGTTTGACCGTGTAGACACCTCAAGGAACAGAGGACTGCACGTTTCCAGTAGCCGAGCTTCACGGCGGATTTGGGTAAGTCTTGTGGGTTATAAGATTCCCATTTGAGCTTGCAGGAGCGCGGCGAGCACATCTCACGCGAAGCGAACCATCTTGTGGATAACTTGTCCCTTGGCTGATCACCTCGGCCTTGGCACCTGCACACAATGCGAGTGCGCCAGAATGCTGGGCCGATGCTACGTTAGCAGACTCGATAAAGACCTCCGGGGAAGAAGTATGGGCTTAATTCCTTCTCCGGAAAAACTCCGAATCGTGAAGCCAGCAGCCTTAAGACCTCGCCCAGTTCAGCCGTGCAGGTAGCATCACAGAATTGTTGTGGCCCACTGAAACCATGCTGTAGTAGTCTGTTGGGGTGGACCAGGCTTTCTCCACTGCTTCTGAGATCTCTAGGAACGGTACGCCTGAAGTCTGATCCTCCCCCTACCAGACTCAGACGAAGGCTTCTGACATCGGAGGAGCATCGGATAGCACCAGCAAGGGCGGACTCTTGGCGAGAAGTATGGACAAGGTTGACGCAAAAGGGAGATGGATTGGGCTATGCCCTTTATGGATTGAGACATGTTTGCCAGCCCTGGCATCTTTAGGCAACCGCGAATCGGTCTTCCAGCCTCTTCACCCTCAGCCAGCAGTGCCCACCTTCCGACCCTCACGTTTGAGAATTCGGGGACCTTGTCCGGAGTTACAATGTTGAGAAGGTTGGGTTCGTGCACTTGTACCCAACCTCATTCTCATTGTACGGACAAGGTCCCCGAATTCCCAAACCATAAGGTCTAGCCCAGCAACCTGCCCTGAAGCTCCTAAACCCTAAAGCCGTAAACCCCCGATCTCGGATTCAACCCCCAACCCCCAACCGAAACCCCAAACCCTAAACCCTAAACCCTAAACCCTAAACCCCAAACCCTAAACCCTAAACCCTAAACCCCAAACCCTAAACCCTAAACCCCAATCACCCCAAGATTCGGAACTATTGGCTCCAGAGCCATGCTCCTCAGCCGGGATCTCAGCAGCGTCAGCATCGTCTTTTGGGCCTAGCCCCCAGAGCCCGAAATAACTCAGAAGGGGGGTATCCTGAGTATCCCTTGAACTATAGGTTGTTTGCAAGGCTTGCTTTATGCGAGTTGTACGGTTTAGAGTTTAGGGCGCATATATGAGGGGTGTATTGCGCCGTTATGGAGCATCGGCCTGAAGGGGGGCTGCAAGGGCAAGGCAAGCAAGGCGAGAAACATGGAGGCGAGGATCTGTGTAGGGCCTAAGTGGCAGATCGGTAAAAATCAGCCATATAAGCCCCTCAAGTCACCAAAAGCTTAGTTGCATAATGTCAAAGCGGTAAGGTGGAATGAGCTCCGTCGCATGTTAACCACGAGATCGAGAAACCTAATTACTGGCCCTGTCCAGTCCAGTCCAGGTGTTCGGACCTCACAGAACAGCTAGCAGCACAGCAGTCAGACGTGCAGAAGCCCTCGAGCGGTAATCTCGGTGGACCTGACGCCCAGCACCATGAAGCTCCAAAGCACAGAGACAACAAGGCATCACTCGCTACTCGCTGCAACGTCAATACCACTAGCTTGCGCTGGTATCTGTTCGTGACGAAGTGGCATGAGGGATAAACACAATACTACGTGTGTGTGTGTGTACGTGTGTATTTATCAGCAAACGCAACCACAAACATCAGAAGCCATAGGAATATTGTCATAGCAGCAAAAGCACTTAATGACAATAGCTTTACCAACAAATACTTCGAGCGGCCGTAATAATGAGTTTGAGCATCCCTCAGCCCCAAGGCACGCGCCCCCGAGCCAAGAGGAAGAGCGAAAGCAACAAGGACGGCTTTTGCGATTGTTTCGTGGGTTTTCTTGGCATTTTGAGGTGCATGGGTTGGGACTTGCTGGTGGTCCGAGGCGTTATACGGCTCTTATCGGGGTTTTAATGGTTTCAAAGATTGTGCAGGCTCATGTAGGTTCCTTACAGCATTAGGCGATTCGTCGAGTCCGCCAAAGATTATTGGCTTCAACAACATAGGCTTTCGCCGGCTGGGTCCAAAGGGTTCAGGGTCGATTGAGTTTAGAACCCAAGAGTTGAAGTGCTTCAACCGCCGCCAGGAGAACTTCCTGGAGCCAACAAAGACAGAGCCGGCATGGTCTTCTGACGTGGACACTCTGCGTGAGGGTCAGGATTCATTTCCTCCTTGAACCGCCTCGAGGGATTGAAGAACGGTCGGGCCTTGGGGATTGACATGGGCGTCATGGGGTGTGTGGTTGGCGTTGATTGACGTGAGGTAGTTAGTAGCAAGGAGGCTTGAGGCTGGCCACTGAAGGTGCCCAGCTGAGAATTCGGCAGATCGTTCTTTGCAGAGCAGTACGAAGTACCAGCTGCAAAGTATTTGCACCTGCGTTAGCCCTCTATAAGTAGTAGACGCAAAGACACTAACAGATTTCTGGGCAAGACACACACTTTTCGGATTCCGTGTGTTTCGAAGGCTTCACGGTTTAGAAAAGTACAGCTCGAATCCAGCTTAACCTGAAGCCATGAATTAGGCAGGACCCCTATGTTCGAACTCGTAGCATAGACTCAGACAGCCTAACGGCTTCTTGCAAAAGGGCCTTGTTTGTCGGCAGCTGCCAACTGCCGGTGTTTTCACCTGGACGGATGGTCAGCTTGGCTGGCAGCGAGTCGCACTCTTATCCTGCCATTGCTTCCACAAGGCGTTTGCGGCACAGTCAGGACCTTTCCTAAGTTTTGCTTAGGGACAAGTGTGGCGAGGGTTTGGAATCCAAGGTTTGGTTCCGTGGTGGATGTAGCACGATGTACTTACTGTTTGGCAAGAGGTTTTCCGTTGCAGGATTCGTTCGAGCATGAACTAGCACAAAAAAGACTGCAACAGCAAGACAAATAGTAACAGCAACGGCGCTGTTACCACGGCATAAGATACTAGATGATTACATGTGAGGGTTTCTGAAAATAGGGGACCCTAATATAGCACCCTAAATAGTAGGATCCTTATTATAAGGACCCCAAAATAAGGTACCCGTAATTTCCGGAAACTCCCACATGTGCTTTCATTGGCCACAGCGACACCTCCCCAAAGCCGGCTCGCCTTGACCATTCCGGAGTTAGGGAGCTCTCCCTACAGAAAACCGCGCGCACCAGTGGCGTCTTCAAAAAAAGCGTCAGATACTGCGGCCTGGATTTTCCGAAGCGCAAACCCCAGCGTGCCATAGTGTAAGTATGTGTAAGTCTCGAAAAAAGAGGCAAAAAAACAAACTAGTTAAGCCTTACCAGGGTCATCACTGTGCACAAAGGCATATCATTACGCTCAAGGTCTACGACCTCTCGACAGACTGTCTAAGAGAATTGTAACTGGCGATGCTGCGATTGTTCCTTCAAATGAAAGGACCTCGAACATTACCAGCCTGAGATGCCACAGCACGTTTTCGAAGGACATACACACGCCTGCTTACCCGGCATTATCCAAAAAAACCGAAACCCCGAAACTACACCCTCAGCCCTTTCGACTCAGTCAGCTCGGCAAGAAACCCTCAACCCTTTCGATTCAGTCAGCCAGGCAAGTGGCAAAAGGCAACCCTACACCCAAATCCTAAATCCCTAAACCCTAACTCCTAAACCCTAAACCCTGAACCCTAAACCCTAAACGACCCCTGGACCGCAATGCTTCGGCCCTTGGTTCATGCTGCAAACCCAGACTGAGAGGTTCGGCCCATCAGCTGAGAAGACCTAGTGGTTGAAGCAGCTCCAGGAGCTGCACCAGCCGTAGCGGCAGCAGGAAAAGTAGCTGTAGAAGTAGCAGCCGCAGTAGCAGGTAGCAAGCATAGAAGTCCTCGTCGTAGACATGGCAGAGGTCTGCAAGTATTACCTCATGGGCACTTGCGACCGCGGCGAGAAGTGTAAGTTCAGCCACCAGACCGATTTCGAGCACAACCACTCACGCCCGCTGCCGTGCAAGTATGCAAGCCGGCCAGGTGGGTGCCGACAGGAGGGCTGTCCGTTCGACCACGGCGAGGCGGCGCAGAAGGCTCCACAGCAAAAAGAGGCGGTTGAGCGCCCCGAGCTGCCGGACATCCCGCTTCCTGAAGCTCCGAACGCGGAGGAGCGAGCTGCCCGCGCTGCAGGCGGACTCCCGCCACGCCCGGACGATGTCGCAGAGTTCCAGACCCGCAAGTTCAACAACTCCGTTGCGAAGATTCGGAAGATGCTGGAGTGCGAGAGGAAGAAGGATGCCGCCAATGCGCCGTCCTTCGAGCTGGGGGACATTGAGTTTGCGGTTCGCAAGTTTGGATCCGCAGATCGGGCAGCGGACTGCTTGTACTGGTCGCGGAAGAAACTGCTTCCCATCCAGGAGTGGGACACGTTGGCGAACTTTGAGGTGTCCGTTCAATGAAGGACATGTTGTCTTTCGCCTACCATGAATCGTGTCATCGCTCTTGGCCTGCAGTACGGCCTGTACGACACCTCACGACGACTCGAACAGCACCGGCAGCAAAAGCCGTCCGCTCCCCTCGAGCTTCCTGCGACTCCGACTGGTGCTGAAGAACCTCAAGGAATTGTGACTGGCTCCGACCCATTCCGATCTTGTATTGCAACTCAAGAATCTTGCTCATTCAGACGCTCAGAACTGATGGAGAGGTTCAGGGTTCATGTTTTTCACTTCCTGCAAACAGAACGCACCGACCCTGCATCGAAACAGTGCGTGCCTGTGTTCCCATCGATTCGGTAGTCTTGGCATCAGGCAACGCGCTTGCCGTCCTCAGGAAACCCCCAACTGCTTCATGTCCCCCTGAGGGTTTAGGGCTTAGGGCTTATAGTTTAGGGTTTAGGGTTTAGGGTTTAGGGCTTAGTGCTTATAGGGTTTATGGTCCCGCAATAATTATGCCTTCACCTACACCCAGGAGCTTAATGGGAACCTTGCTTATTGACGGCTTTCGGGGATTCCAGGTGACTGGATGGCCACATCGTGCACGCACCACTTCCACACATACCCTTCAACAGTCATGGTTCAGGGGTTTAGAGTTTCTGGTTTAGGGGGTTCGAGCTCCAATCAAGCCTGTGTAAAAAGCGGGGGTTCATGCGGGCTCAGAGTGCTTAGATGGCATGCCGCTTGTCATGTCTCACACCGCCGCGGCCGCTGCCGGCGGTGGAGGCCTCCACGTCGGAAACCGAAAGACTCGTGGAGGATGGTTGTTGGGTCGTGGGTTTGGGTTGCGCACGAACCTGAGAAATAGATGCAGCTGCAGATACTATGCCTTGTTTATGAGCATACAACCAGCGGCCGGCGAGTTTTGAGGTGGACCTCCCTTGATTCTCCCCGACTTCGATTCCTATGCAAACCCTAAACCTCAACTTTTCCCTGAGGCAAAAAACTGAGGGAAAAACTCCTAGACCCCAAATTTGTGTAGCTTACCCCCCTCTCCCCCTGCCTCAGCTGCTTCTTTCCTGGCACCTTATACCGGTACACCCCATGTGCAGCCTTAGGGGCCAAAATCATCATACTACAGACCCCTAAGCTCCCGCAGTACTTCTGGCCGATGCCTTAGCAACTGCAAAAAGCATTCGGGTGTGTATTAAACCCTTATAAACCCTAAACCCTAAACCCTAAACCCTAAACCTTAAGCCCAAGAACTTCAACCCAAAACAAGCATTCGTCAGCCAGACTGATGGAAGCCCATCGCCAGGAGGGCCAAGCTTGCTTCTTGCGGCCTCCATGCGCTGGTCTCAGCACGTTTTCTCTACTATAGGGGCTTTTCACGTGAAATCCGAGTCCGCAGGGTTCCTTCATCTGAATATAGTATGCTTCTTTTTTGTGGAGCTTGTTTAGGGCTTCGGGGGGGGGGGGGGNNNNATATATATATATACATTCACATGTGTGGACATATGTGTGGATTTTAAAATTTACTTTACTTGATGTACTACTTGCTACTGCCTACTTATTTGTTCCGTTCTTCATTTACTTATTTATCACCTAGGTCGGGCGAGTGTTCCTCAGGACTGGTGTCGACGAGGCCAGTTGAGATTTCACGGTTGATGGTTGACCTCGCATGATCTGCTCTAGCCTCTGCCATCCATTTCGGTGCTCTGTGTGTGGAGGTTTGAGGTCATGACACGATCCGCATAGGTTCAAGTGGCTAAGCCAGTACTGCGTGCTGCTGGTTGGACGTTTTCAAGGTACTTTGTTAAGTTTTTGAGTTGATAAAGGGCACCGTTTGGAATTGCTGAGTGAATCCGTGCCTCGGTTGGCTTGTTTGCTGTGTGGGCGGTGCCGTTTTGCAATGTGCTTGGTTGTGAGTTGGGTGGGCAGTTGCATATAGAGTTCTCAGTAGAGCATCCGCAAGAACGGGGAGCCAAGGACTGTGCACATGCTCATGACTGCTCATGTGGTAGATGCTTTGGCAGGAAGCACCGGAGCCGTCCTGGCAGTTGCCGCAAGCTGCAGACTCACATGGCGAGGCAACGTAGTTTTGCAGAGTATGACATGCATTTGTCGATTTTCAACCGAACCAGGCCTGAGTAGGCTCTTGTGTAGCTGTTTGAAGCTGTCCGCGGGTGCCGAGTGCGAATCCTCATGCAGAGATCAACGACGGGTTCTATGTTCTAAAGCTGATTAAACTGCCCTTGCTTTGAGGAAGCTGCTCGTTGCCCGCATGTATAGTAGGATGACGGGACTGGCTCAAGCTGCTTTATATCCATGAGCTCGTATACGTACGCAGTTCTTGTATTGTACTAGACAATTCCGAAAGCAGTGTGCCACAAACTCTTCACCAGAATCTACTTTGCCACCCTTCGCCCGAAATCCTAGATTTTTGGTTCATGCTACTCTCTGCAAAATGCCCGAATTGCGATTACGATTACAATAATTGCATGGCTCTAAGCACCTGTTGTCTTGAGGTTTCTTCCCTTGAATAATTTAGCAGTCAAAACCTACTATGTTCCAGGGGTTTGAGTATCAGGCATTGGAGGGGATTGATGGGTGATGTTTCAGTAATGTTCAGAAAAGTGCAAGATGAAGAGAGTGCAAGCATATTCTTTTCGATACTTACACTTGCCCGTCTATGCGGGTCTCCTTCGGGCCAGTGTAGTACCAGTAGTTCACCTACCCTAGAGCCTACCCATAGGCCCCATAGTAGCTCCTTCTTGGGATTCCCTAATAGGATTCTAAATATGAATCCCAAAAAGGAACTACTTTAGGGCCTATGGGTAATCCCTAGAATCTTGCTGCGTCTACTTGCATGTCTAGTCACATCGAGCTACGAGCCAAGCCTGATGAAACCCAACCCATGTGGAAGATTGTCGACTGTAGCTGCCAGGTTGAAGTCCACATGTTTAGGGTTTAGGGTTTAGGGTGCAGATCGGGTAGAACTTCGCTTGAACTTGATCGGGCCATGCAGCCCTAACTCTTGCAAGGCCAATCTGGCAGCCTTCGTCGCTGTCACCAGCAGCTGGGGGATATCCAGCGGCAGCAGGAGGATGCCGTGGAGATGGATGAGGTAGTGCAGGCCATTCTTCGGGAAGCAGGAAGTTCAAGGGGGGTCTCCGGAGCATAATATAGAGGCCTTAATAATAGTTAGAATAGGGTTTTTGGAGCCCATAACCCCCCAAAATCATATAGGTAATTATTTCGGCGCTACATTACCCCGAAACTGAAGAAACTCCAAGCCCGTAAATCTGGAGCCCTGCATTTCATTCTTCAGGTGCCCTGCCTCTTCTACGGTCTCAAGCATGATGCCGATGGAGTCGAGCGAGTGTCCGTCGTTGAGGCTGGCTGATTTAGAACATATGAACCATATAATATAGGGGTTGAGTTTAGGGTTCAGGGTTTAAGGTGGTTTGAGTCATTAACAGCAATACTTACACCACAGTACAACCCAGAACCATATTCTGATTTCAGGCCCCTATGCCCCTGTGTGATAAGTTGCGGTTTGGTAGGCTCAGGGACTCATTCGTATGGAGGGTCTAGGAGGAGTGCAGCTCAGGCCCACACCTCAAGAGCAGAAACTGGCCTGTGAGATGTGTGGAGTCTTCCCTTTCCACGGTACCCTTATATCTTGGCTCTCCTTGGGGTGTGCAGCGCTCACTTCACGAGCAGGTCTCAGATGGGGAGAGGCTGATGTTTATTGACCGCGGCAGGGGATCTCAGATGTTCCCATTTCTTTGCAGGCGCTGAAAGCCTAGTTCCGTATTAAATAGGCTACTGGGTCATGCATACTACAAGATTGAGGTATATGTAGGGTGAAGGAACCGTAACCGCCTGTGTAGTAACTGGGCTCCTAGTGTGCCTTGTCTGGAATCATGTGCGCATGTCTGCACTTTAGTCCAGAAGCACACAAGTCTGCCATGGCTTGGCTGAACAGTCAACTGCCTAAACTCCTAAACCACCAAAGCCGACAGGCTGTTGCTGTGTAGCCCGATAGTTTTCCACAGAACTTTAGTTTTGTGTGGCACTTCGCAGCCGCATTTGTGCAATCTATCTTCTTGGACCCGCTTCCTTGCAACACTGATTCAAAGGCTAACCGATGCTAACCGCATGGGAGAGAACACTCAGCAACCAGGTACTCAGTACGCGTACAAGATCGTACAAGACCATCACGCAAACACCATAGACCTTCACACCACCTTCAAGATAAATTCAAACCCCCCAGCCCCCCGACCCCCCCAAACAGCAAACTTCATCCCCTGGAGCCGAACTCTGAACTAGGCCCTCTGCCCTGGAAAACATAGGTCCTGCTAAAGTCGGGGAGCCGGTTTTCACCGACGAGGTCATCGTCAGTTGCAAGCTTTTGCCTCGGCAAGGATGTTGGGAAGCATGTGTGTTGGCTCTTGCAAGGCTGGGGGTAGTCTTGCATTCCTATTGTAGCGGCATGTTTGGGCAGAGGACTGGTTTCAGATTCATAGACTTGGGATTGGTGTTCAGCCACTTTCGGCGTTTCTATCTCGACTGAAGTGTGGGGTCCCATTTCGGTCTTTGCCCCGGCAACGAGTGTCCGAAATGCGGGTTTAGGGCTGAATAAAAGGCCCTGAATTATCAGAAGAGGGTTTATGGTTCAGGGGAGCTGATCCTGCTGGCCTCTAGTGAGAGCTTTCGAAGGTATTGGTGCATTCTGTGTAGATCCGTATTGTTTTGGTTTGCGGCCATGTGCGTCTATGGATGTTGGAGCGGCTGTCTTAAGAACGGCAGCAAATGGGTGCAACAGCGGCGCATTGACTCTTCTGTCCCAACCTAGAGGTTGTGGAGACAGGGCCAGCCCGATGTCTTCGATAAAATGAATCCACAACCGCAACATAGCCTATGCCCCGCATGCATGCGCGCCACCTTCCAGTTGCGGTTGAGGTCGTATGCCTTTCTGTGGAGAAACGATCCCAAGGTCCAGTCGTGCCAGGTCCTCAGGG